CTTGTTTCAAAGGCAGGGATCGTTATTCCTGACTCAGGGAGGATTTAACAATGAAATGTACCTTCCACCCTGGCTGGGCTCCATTAATATTTGATGATAAACGAGTGGATGAATGAGTGTGTGAAAGCGCTGTGCAAACAGCGATGTGCTTGCTGCATTAGTCTGTTCAGACTGTCAGAACAGGTACCACAGCCTGGGGAGTTTAAACAACAGAATCATATTCTTTTCTCATCATTCTGGAGGCTGGAGGTTCAAGAGCAAGCTGCTGGCTTTGCCTGAGACCTCTCTGCCTAGTTGGCAGATGGCTGCCTTTTCACTGCGTCCTCCCATGGCTGTCCTTGTTCTGTGTTATTCGTGTCCTGTTTTCCTTTTTCTAGTAAGGACATAGTCATATCTGATTAAGGCCCACCGTACAGACCTCTTTTTAACCTAATACCTCTTTAAAGACCTTATCTCCAAACATGGATGCATTTGGAGGTATTGGGCGTTAGTGCTTAAATATATGAATTTGACAGGTCATCAGTTTAGTTCATAGACTTCCCTGGTGGCCCATGGCTAAGAATCTACCTTGCAGTGGGTTTGGGCCCTGGTTGGAGAACTAAGGTCCCACATGCGGTGGAGCAACTCAGTGTTCTCACCGCAGCTAGAGAATCCGTGCGTCTCACAAATAGACTCCATAGGCCGCGACGAAAGATCCTGCATTTACGACAAGGATCCTGTGGGCTGCAAATAAGACCTGGCACAGCCTAATAGACAAATGAACAAATATTTTAAAAAGAAGTTAAAACAAACAATTAAAAAAAAGTTTAAAACATTTCACTCACAACATTCATCAATGTATTATTGTCCTCAATTAAAAAAAATCTTTTATTTATTATTTATTTTTGGCTGTGCTGGTTCTTCCTTGCTGTGTGGGCTTTTTCTCTAGTTGGGGCGAGTGAAGGCTACTCTCTAGTTGCTATACATGGGTTTCTCATTGCAGCAGCTTCCCTGGTTGCAGAGGACGGGCTCTAGTGTGCACGGGCTTCAGCAGTTGAGGTTCGGAGCTCTAGAGCACAGGCTCAGTAGTTGTGGCCCACAGGCTTAGTGGCATCTTGGCATGTGGGAGCTTCCCAGACCAGGGATCGAACCCACGTCTCCTGCATTGGCAGGCAGATTCTTTATCACTGAGCCACCAGGGAAGCCCAGCAATTTTATTTATGGTGACACTTTTCAGAGAGAGTATTTGTGTGCTTTGCAGGGACAGTGGCCCTTTGCATACGAGAGGTGGAATAGTACAAGCACATTTCAATACATATGTGTTTTTTAATAGGTAAGATATTCACATAGTTCAAAATTCAGAAAGTCATGGAAGAGGAACCATGAATGGATAACCAACATAAGAAGATGCTTTCAATGTCACCAGTAACCAGAGAAACGTAAATTAAGCTCATACTCTAATATCACACCACTTCACACCCGCTACATGTGGAGTCTGTTAATGTCGCGTTGACGAGAAGGCAGATACCTTCATGTGCAGGTGGGAATGTGAATCAGCACAGCTAACTTGGAAACCCTTTGGCAAGTGGCCGGTGAGCTGAAGGTGTAGCTTCTCTCTGGCCCAGCAGTACCACTGCCAGGATCACACTCTAGGTCACTCTTACATGTGTGCACCAAAGGCAGGCATAGAACACTCATAGCAGCAAAAATGGGAAACAGTCCAATGTCTAACACCAGGAAAATGGGTAAATAAAGTGGGCATATTCACACATGGAGCATTAACACAATGAAAACACATGAATCAAGCATCGGCATGAATGAATCTTACAACCAGGGTGACAGACATTGACTTGTCATAGAGAAACACATACAGCTTGACATCATCTTTGTACAGTTCCAAACAAGTAAAGTGAAAGAATATTTTACATGGGGATGTATTGCTGTTGTTGTTCAGTCCCCAAGTCATGTCTGACTCCTGGCGACCCCATGGACTGTAGCACGCCAGGCTCCCCTGTCCTTCACTATCTCCTGGAGTCTGCTCGAATTCATGTCCATTCTGTTGATGATGCCATCCAACCATCTCATCCTCTGTTCTCCCCTTCTCCTCCTGCCTTCAATCTTTCCCAGCATCAGGGTCTTTCCCAGTGAGTCAATTCTTTATATCAGGTGGCCAAAGTATTAAGAGTTTCAGCTTCAGCATCAGTACCTCCAATGAATATTCAGGACTGATTTCCTATAGGATGGACTAGTTTGATCTCCTTGCAGTCCAAGGGACTCTCAAGTGTCTTCTCCAACACCATAATACAATTCTAAAGGCAGGCAAATTTGGAACTTCCTGGTGGTCCAGTGGCTGAGATTCCACACTCCCAACACAGCGGGTCTGGGTTCAATCCATGGTCAGGCAACTAGATGCCACATGCTACAACTAAGGGTATGAACACTACAGCTAAATATCCCTTGTTCCACAGCTAAGACCTGGTGCAGCTAAATAAATAAGTAATAAATAAATAAATAAATAAAAGCAGGTCAGACTGAGGACAAGCAGACAGCAGTGACCTCTGTGGGACCAGGGGCATGCTGCAAGAAGTCTTAACCCTATTGTAACGCTCCATTTCTTACAGCGGGTGGTAGATCCACAGGGAGGAATTCTTTATTAATCCTATCTCAATACATACATTCATCCATATGTTTTTATACATATGAAATAATTCATCATAAAAAGAAGTTTTATGAATTCAAAAGGCAGAAAAATATATATCATGAAAATCTTTCTCCAATGGCAGCTGTTATTTTCAGATTTGTGTATATCATTTGGAGATCATGTATGCTTACAGAGACAAATCAATACTTCATCATTTAGAGATAAGTTATATTTGACAGCAAAACATACGTGGACACACGTGTGTGCATGCTTGTGTTTGTATTCTGCTTTCCTTCCCCCTCCCTTTTATACACTGGTAGCATGTCCACAGGCTCCTTTTAAACAACATTATGATCAGATAGTAAAAGGTCAGAGTAAGGAGACTGTCTGGCAAGAGAAGATGGACTTATCTATCTGTCTAGTAGTTTGGATTTTAACTCAAAGACAGAATTGTCACTCTAAAGTAAAGAGACAGCATGGCAGGAATTCAGCTTTGGAGCCAGGGCTGATGAGACATGGAGTTGGGACCCAGTGAAGTCCAATTGCCTCTTGATTGAATCAACCCAAGACCAGAGGTGAGCAATTCTCCCTTCTTGATAATGAGACCCCCTGAGTTACAACTGTCTCAGACCAACAACACAGACGTGCAGAGAGAAGGAGAGGGCAAGCTTGTGACCCAGTAAAAGCAGGGGACGAATACATCAAGAGACAATTCAGGATCGACGTCAGATGTATGTCAAGCACCTGGCTGGGATGAAGGCAGAGAGCAGGGAAGCATTCTCCCACAGAAGCCGGGCGAGGAGGTGAGAGCTGCTTAGCCCAGCAGCTGGGCATGGAGGGCAAGGCCAAGTGCTCCGCGAGCGAGGTGGAAGGTGGGTGAGTGACAACCCGGGCAGTGCTAGGTTCAGCCAGGGCCAAGCCATGGAAGCTGCCAGTGCCTGGTTGATCTGGGAAGTCTTCCCAGAGAGGCTTTCAGGAGCAGCTTGACTGGGGAGAGAAACAGGTTGCTGAACAGATTGAGGGCGGGAGCTCCAGGGCGTCCTGCCGATCCACACTGGCCAGGCTCCAAAGGCACACTTGCTTATCTTCTTTCTGTTGTGTCTTTCACCCTTTTGTATTTCCTTAAAGATCCCAGAACCTGGCAGGGGTGTTTGGTTCTAGGATAAGCTGTCAAGAGTGGGTGTGCACTAAAATGCAAATGCAGGGAATGGGGACCAGCTCTCGGAGATGGAAGTGGGATGCAGAAAAGCAAGAGGACTCGGAGGCCATGTGGCATGCACGGCACTCCAGGCCCCGGTGGGAATCAGGAACCCTGGACTGCGGGCCCCTGGACTCAGATACCAACTTGTTCTAGGACCTCGGAAGGTCCCAGAACCATGTCCAGCTTTCATCAAGGATTAGATGGGTGTGTTGGAACTAAATGACCTGAAAAATCTAAGTGAGTCAGTGACTGTCAGCCCAAGAACTCAAGCCTGCCAGTTCAATGCAACCGAATATCTCAACAGCCTTGAAGCTTACAGTATAAACACCGTTTGTGATCTTCATGCCTGCCAAGCACTTCACACAAGTCTTCTCCCGTATAGCGTTTCATCTGCCTGTCCTAATGACCCATGAAGCAGGCATGGCAGGTGTCGGATTAGTCCATTTTACAAATGGGGAAACTGACAGGCGGGCTAACTGGTTCGAGGTTCCAGGGCTGGACCCTGGATGGCGCTTCATGCCCCTCTCCTTGTCCTGCTTGGATGTCAGTACTGGCTCTGGGATGAGCGCCTGAAAGCCAGATGCCAGGTCCCTTTCTCCCCAACTCAACCTCAGCGTCAAGGTGGCTACATGGTCACCTGAGCACCACCCCCAATGGGACGTCTGCTCCAGCTGGCACACCCCTTCTGCACTCGTGTGGGGGCAAGGCATGCCGTTTACTTCCATAAGGATGTGCCCTGAGCTGCCCCCCACCCCGCCCCACCCCGGCCCTTGGGGACGTATCTCTTGGGCTCCTGAAACAGTGGCAGCTGCCCGCCCAGCCGCCTCAGGCCTCCAGCCTCAGGGAGTGGCCTTGCTTTTCTCCCAGCCTGGCTTCCTGTCTAGACATCTCGAATGGTCCACTGGATTTAGCTCGCTGAGTCTGCCTGCCAGCTCCCGTCAAAGCCACACAGTTCAGTGCCCGGTGGCTGCCTCCCCCTCACCAGGGCGGCATCCTAGAAGGAGTGGCTGGATCAGAAAACTGAGGCTAAGAAACTGTAAAATGAAGGGACCTGGGTGGGGCGGTGGGGGGAAGTAAAGATGATAACACCCTTAGAGTCAGCTCAGCTCTAGCATCCTGCCTTTTTCAGAGCCTACACAAGCCTCACCCTCTCCCCCCGACACCTGGAAGGATGGGTTGTCAAGGTAACATCTCGTAGACCCCAGTATTCTCAGTTTCACGGGTCCCCATGGACCACAGGAGCTGGCTGTGGAGAAGCAGCTTCTCTTTTGGAACTGGCTCTGGGGAGACGCGAACAGAGCTCGTTCTCCGCAGTCTCCAGTCCCCCAGCCAAGACTCTCTCTCGGAGGCCGAAGCTCCCACAGGAGATGAAGCTGAGAGATGCATCACGCCCAGCACTTCCGGAGCAAGGATGCCAAGGCTGATTTCAGAACAGCCCAGGTGGTCTCTGGGCCATAAAGGTATGGCTTTACCTTTCTGCCCTGGCTTCTCACCCGCCCTATATGCAGGCTTCATAGCGGAGAAAAGTACCGTTGCCTCCCTCCCTAACCTGCCCAGGGGAAAGAGACGACCCACTGCGGTTCTTTTTTTTTTTTATTTTTTATTTTTTTTTATCACAACCATAGTGTATCTTTTTTTTTTTTTTTTTTACATGTATTCCCCATCCCGGTCCCCCCTCCCACCTCCCTCTCCACCCAATCCCTCTGGGTCTTCCCAGTGCACCAGGCCCGAGCACTTGTCTCATGCACCCAACCTGGGCTGGTGAACTGTTTCACCCTAGATAATATACGTGTTTCAATGCTGTTCTCTTGAAACATCCCACCCTCGCCTTCTCCCAGAGTCCACAAGTCTGTTCTATACATAGGAGTCTCTTTTTCTGTTTTGCACATAGGGTTATCGTTACCATCTTTCTAAATTCCATATATATGTGTTAGTATACTGTAATGGTCTTTATCTTTCTGGCTTACTTCGCTCTGTATAATGGGCTCCAGTTTCATCCATCTCATTAGAACTGATTCAAATGAATTCTTTTTAATGGCTGAGTAATATTCCATGGTGTATATGTACCACAGCTTCCTCATCTATTCATCTGCTGATGGGCATCTAGGTTGCTTCCATGTCCTGGCTATTATAAACAGTGCTGCGATGAACATTGGGGTACACGTGTCTCTTTCAGATCTGGTTTCCTCGGTGTGTATGCCCAGAAGTGGGATTGCTGGGTCATATGGCAGTTCTATTTCCAGCTTTTTAAGAAATCTCCACACTGTTTTCCATAGTGGCTGTACTAATTTGCATTCCCACCAACAGTGTAAGAGGGTTCCCTTTTCTCCACACCCTCTCCAGCATTTATTGCTTGTAGACTTTTGGATAGCAGCCATCCTGACTGGTGTGTAATGGTACCTCATTGTGGTTTTGATTTGCATTTCTCTGATAATGAGTGATGTTGAGCATCTTTTCATGTGTTTTTGTGCCATCTGTATGTCTTCCTTGGAGAAATGTCTGTTCAGTTCTTTGGCCCATTTTTTGATTGGGTCATTTATTTTTCTGGAGTTGAGCTGGAGGAGTTGCTTGTATATTTTTGAGATTAATCCTTTGTCTGTTGCTTCGTTTGCTATTATTTTCTCCCAATCTGAGGGCTGTCTTTTCACCTTGCTTATAGTTTCCTTTGTTGTGCAAAAGCTTTTAAGTTTCATTAGGTCCCATTTGTTTATTTTTGCTTTTATTTCTAAAATTCTGGGATGTGGGTCATAGAGGATCCTGCTGTGATTTATGTCGGAGAGTGTTTTGCCTATGTTCTCCTCTAGGAGTTTTATAGTTTCTGGTCTTACATTTAGATCTTTAATCCATTTTGAGTTTATTTTTGTGTATGGTGTTAGAAAGTGTTCTAGTTTCATTCTTTTACAGGTGGTTGACCAGTTTTCCCAGCACCACTTGTTAAAGAGGTTGTCTTTTTTCCATTGTATATCCTTGCCTCCTTTGTCAAAGATAAGGTGACCATAGGTTCGTGGATTTATCTCTGGGCTTTCTATTCTGTTCCATTGATCTATATTTCTGTCTTTGTGCCAGTACCATACTGTCTTGATGACTGTGGCTTTGTAGTATAGTCTGAAGTCAGGCAGATTGATTCCTCCAGTTCCATTCTTCTTTCTCAGGATTACTTTGGCTATTTGAGGTTTTTTGTATTTCCATACAAATTGTGAAATTATTCGTTCTAGTTCTGTGAAAAATATCGTTGGTAGTTTGATAGGGATTGCATTGAATCTGTAGATTGCTTTGGGTAGTATAGCCGTTTTGACAATATTGATTCTTCCAATCCATGAACACGGTATATTTCTCCATCTGTTTGTGTCCTCTTTGATTTCTTTCATCAGTGTTTTATAGTTTTCTATGTATAGGTCTTTTGTTTCTTTAGGTAGATATACTCCTAAGTATTTTATTCTTTTTGTTGCAATGGTGAATGGTATTGTTTCCTTAATTTCTCTTTCTGTTTTCTCATTGTTAGTGTATAGGAATGCAAGAGATTTCTGTGTGTTAATTTTATATCCTGCAACTTTACTGTATTCGTTGATTATCTCTAGTAATTTTCTGGTAGAGTCTTTAGGATTTTCTATGTAGAGTATCATGTCATCTGCAAACAGCGAGAGTTTCACTTCTTCTTTTCCTATCTGGATTCCTTTTACTTCTTTTTCTGCTCTGATTGCTGTGGCCAAAACTTCCAAAACTATGTTGAATAGTAGTGGTGAGAGTGGGCACCCTTGTCTTGTTCCTGATTTCAGGGGAAATGCTTTCAGTTTTTCACCATTGAGGGTGATGCTTGCTGTGGGTTTGTCATATATAGCTTTTATTATGTTGAGGTATGTTCCTTCTATTCCTGCTTTCTGGAGAGTTTTAATCATAAATGGATGTTGAATTTTGTCAAAGGCTTTTTCTGCATCTATTGAGATAATCATATGGTTTTTATCTTTCAATTTGTTAATGTGGTGTATTACATTGATTGATTTGCGGATGTTAAAGAGTCCTTGCATTCCTGGGATAAAGCCCACTTGGTCATGATGTATGATTTTTTTAATATGTTGTTGGATTCTGTTTGCTAGAATTTTGTTAAGGATTTTTGCATCTATGTTCATCAGTGATATTGGCCTGTAGTTTTCTTTTTTTGTGGCATCTTTGTCTGGTTTTGGAATTAGGGTGATGGTGGCCTCATAGAATGAGTTTGGAAGTTTACCTTCTTCTGCAATTTTCTGGAAGAGTTTGAGTAAGATAGGTGTTAGCTCTTCTCTAAATTTTTGGTAGAATTCAGCTGTGAAGCCATCTGGTCCTGGGCTTTTGTTTGCTGGAAGATTTCTGATTACAGTTTCGATTTCCTTGCTTGTGATGGGTTTGTTAAGATCTTCTATTTCTTCCTGGTTCAGTTTTGGAAAGTTATATTTCTCTAAGAACTTGTCCATTTCTTCCAAGTTGTCCATTTTATTGGCATAGAGCTGCTGGTAGTAGTCTCTTATGATCCTTTGTATTTCAGTGTTGTCTGTTGTGATCTCTCCATTTTCGTTTCTAATTTTGTTAATTTGGTTCTTCTCCCTTTGTTTCTTAATGAGTCTTGCTAATGGTTTGTCAATTTTGTTTATTTTTTCAAAAAACCAGCTTTTAGCTTTGTTAATTTTTACTATGATCTCTTTAGTTTCTTTTGCATTTATTTCTGCCCTGATTTTTAAGATTTCTTTCCTTCTACTAACCCTGGGGTTCTTCATTTCTTCCTCCTCTAGTTGCTTTAGGTGTAGACTTAGGTTATTTATTTGACTTTTTTCTTGTTTCTTGAGGTAGGCCTGTAATGCTATGAATCTTCCCCTTAGCACTGCCTTTACAGTGTCCCATAGGTTTTGGGTTGTTGTGTTTTCATTTTCATTCATTTCTATGCATATTTTGATTTCTTTTTTGATTTCTTCTATGATTTGTTGGTTATTCAGAAGCGTGTTGTTTAGCCTCCATATGTTTGAATTTTTAATAATTTTTCTCCTGTAATTAAGATCTAATCTTACTGCACTGTGGTCAGAAAAGATGACTGGAATGATTTCAATCTTTTTGAATTTACCAAGACTAGATTTATGGCCCAGGATGTGATCTATTCTGGAGAAGGTTCCGTGTGCACTTGAGAAAAAGGTGAAGTTGATTGTTTTGGCGTGAAACGTCCTATAGATGTCAATTAGGTCTAGCTGGTCCATTGTGTCCTTTAAAGTTTGTGCTTCTTTGTTCATTTTCTGTTTAGTTGATCTATCCATAGTTGTGAGTGGGGTATTAAAGTCTCCTACTATTATTGTGTCACTATTAATTTCCTCTTTCATACTCGTTAGTGTTTGCCTTACATATTGCGGTGCTCCTATGTTGGGTGCATATATATTTATAATTGTTATATCTTCTTCTTTGATTGATCCTTTGATCATTATGTAGTGTCCATCTTTGTCTCTTTTCACAGCCTTTATTTGAAAGTCTATTTTATCTGATATGAGTATTGCGACTCCTGCTTTCTTTTGGTCTCCGTTTGCGTGGAATATTTTTTTCCAGCCCTTCACTTTTAGTCTGTATGTGTCCCTTGCTTTGAGGTGGGTCTCTTGTAGACAGCATATATAGGGGTCTTGCTTTTTTATCCATTCAGCCAGCCTTTGTCTTTTGGTTGGGGCATTCAACCCATTTACATTTAAGGTAATTATTGATAGGTATGGTCCCGTTGCCATTTATTTTGTTGTTTGGGGTTCATGTTTATACCACCTTTCTGTGTTTCCTGTCTAGAGAAGATCCTTTAATATTTGTTGAAGAGCTGGTTTGGTGGTGCTGAATTCTCTCAGCTTTTGCTTGTCTGTAAAGCTTTTGAGTTCTCCTTCATATCTGAATGAGATCCTTGCTGGGTAGAGTAATCTAGGTTGTAGGTTATTCTCTTTCATTACTTTAAGTATGTCCTGCCATTCCCTTCTGGCCTGAAGGGTTTCTATTGATAGATCAGCTGTTATCCTTATGGGAATCCCTTTGTGTGTTATTTGTTGTTTCTCCCTTGCTGCTTTTAATATTTGTTCTTTGTGTTTGATCTTTGTTAATTTGATTAATATGTGTCTTGGGGTGTTTCTCCTTGGGTTTATCCTGTTTGGGACTCTCTGGGTTTCTTGGACTTGGGTGGCTATTTCCTTCCCCATTTTAGGGAAGTTTTCAGCTATTATCTCCTCGAGTATCTTCTCATGGCCTTTCTTTTTGTCTTCTTCTTCTGGGACTCCTATGATTCGAATGTTGGGGCGTTTCACATTGTCCCAGAGGTCCCTGAGGTTGTCCTCATTTCTTTTGATTCTTTTTTCTTTTTTCCTCTCTGCTTCATTTATTTCCACCATTTTATCTTCTAACTCACTTATCCTATCTTCTGTCTCTGTTATTCTACTCATGGTTCCCTCCAGAGTGTTTTTGATCTCATTTATTTCATTATTAATTTTTAATTGACTTTTTTTTATTTCTTCTAGGTCCTTGTTAAACATTTC